TCCCTACAATGGTGGGATATGAAAACAGGCAAGCATTTAGATTTGTTCTGCCCGAAGTCATGTGTTGCGGACATTGCTGGAAGAAATCGATGAATTTTTGAAGTTCTTGTAGTGCTCGGGGTTTAGCTTGATTTTGCCGATAGGCATGTCACAGAAATAAGTTTCCAGACAGGCAGGCGCATGTTTGAAGCAGAACTACGACAGGTTTTTTTGGTAAAATTCTCGAGATTAACTTATCCTCTTCCGAAAGAAAACCAAGCTCTGATGCGCACACTAAGTCTAGAACAGCTATTAACACAGGGCATTACCCGATACAGGGGAAAATAGATTTCTACTTCAATTTATAAACACTTCGGCTGATTAAATAAAATAAAGACATACTCTGCATACAAAAAACGGACTAGAAGAATAATCAACATACGCAATGTGCCTAAAATGGATACTCTCAACTTCCATGATCGTGTTTTATGAGACATACTGCATGTCTCAAACAAGTGCCGGACTCGTTATGGCGAAAAAAAAACAGACCAGCTCGCCTTTGTTCTTCTAATCTCCCGTAAAACTCTTTTTACCAAAATTAACCATAAACGAAATGGTCTTATGTCAAAGCAATAAGGGGAAGTGGATGTATATATTCATACCCTACGTAAACTAACTTTCCTTACCCGAACAGTTCCAGAGACGATCTTGGATCCGTTGGGCCAAGTGGTAACCGTTGTTTTATGTGGTCTACACTGAAACCGAACTTCCGACTGGCATTGAGTACCAGGCTGTCGTAGATTCCGCTGTAGGTGTCGAAGCGATTCTTCTCATCGGGACCACCCAGGTGCAAATTTTGGCGCCAAATCTGGAGACCCGTCAGTTGGACGTCGAATAGTGTCAACACGGCATCGGATAGCTGCTGAACCTGCTTGTCGTCCTGGGCATCGTCTGTCAGATTCACTTTTTGCTAGGTAGGAGAAAGAAAAGCGCTTTGAACAACAATGCAAACAGTGCGTAGCCCTAGGTCCTTAAGCAATTACAATGTTGTTTACACGAAGTTACATAATTAACAGTTCGATTTCGATTATGTCCACCGTATGCTTCGCAACAAGGTGGTGGTGCAGGGACAGTAAATCGCGCGTGGATTCGTTTTAAGTGATAGTAGACCTGCGCGGCATCTATCGCACTTTCTCTTCCCTCATCCACCTGAGCCGGACCCGCTCCTACAAGTGCCACCACGCCTCCACTCCCCTGTTCGGCATTTGTTATCGGCGCGCATCCCGAATAACGCCTGCCCTGTCCTGATCTGGTCCCTGCGCTGGTCTAGCGCATCTACCACGAGGTCCGTTTGTGGAGCACACGTTACATAACCAGGAACCAAGCTGCACCGGCAATAATCTAACAGCCGACTGGCCTCATCTAGATGCGGTCCGATATTATCCGCCCTTTGTCCGCGCGAGAGTTCAATCTGTCAAAGTGTTTCTGAGCCTGCCTTAAAACCGACTAGTACGGGGATAAAAGCTTCATTTGCCAGAAGTAATAGGCAACCCTGTCCAAACATTTGATGGCTAGAAGACGATTAATAAAAATTAATTAGACTTTTCTCCCCTGCCCCACCTAAATTCCAATGCGACAGAATATTTGAAATATCCGATTTTTGAGCAGTTAAATTCGTAAAAAGTAACTGTAGCATATAGGACTCCCAGGGGAATAAAAATAAATAAATCTATGACGCAAAAAAAGAGCACAACACATTAGAGTAAGCACACATGAAAGCAACCCCTGTGAAACGAATTGTTAAACTTAGTCGATGTCGGCAAACTGGCACATTTCCCTTAGCGGTATTGGTCTGAATCTGCGCAAAAGGTGCGGAAGGAAAAGACCGCACAGACGAAACTGCATGCGGAAGCACTCACCACAATCATTTCTACTCCACCTGAGACTGGCGAGCAGATGGAAGAGGTCAACCTGTCGACGAACACAGTGAAGAGATTGGGCTGCGTGGCGAAGTCTGCGGCCTGCTCCAAGGCCTCAGTTAGGTTTTTGACCATTGTCAACACGGAACTCACGTCAAGATCCAGTTGGCTGAGGGAACGCTGCGCGGGGGGCAACAAGGCATGGTAGTTAAAAAGGACCACCAACGAAAAAAACAACAGATGCAAATCACACGAATAAAGTCGCTGAAATTACAAAATTGACTACAGGCGCTGCGAGTTAGTAACTAATTAGCGCAACGAGCAGGCGTTGTAGATGCGAGTTAGAGCACAGAACGCAAACACACTGAATGGAAGCCAACTCAGGAAATGCCAAAATGTTCCAATTCCTCGGTTGCGCCAAGCGTCAATCGTAAGCACATATTAAGGTTGCCCGTAGAAAGAGCAAGCAGCAAATGCATCCGCACAGTTATCACGTGACAAAGTGCTCGAAGGAGAGGACTCAGTAAGTGCGCGGGAAAGCTGGTCTAGATTTTTAGACGATGAAGGCAGTCTCATGACTCATACCACTAAGCAGAAAATAAATTGATCCATTTCACCTACTTTTCTCATTATACACCGATTGCTTATCCCCCTTTGCTTATTCAATCTACAACAATTAGGTCATCTGTATATCAGGCTAGCAACTTTTTGAAGGGAAACTGTTACGACCCGCGCCTGGTACTGCTAACTAAGTCGAACGCCGAACCAAGGAACCCGTAAGAGTGAGACAGAGAGAAGACCGGTTGGCCAGAGAGAGGGGGAATTTACTGCGACAAGCACGTTACAGAAAGTCAGAGCAAGTCAAGTCAGACACAGGGTGAATTTACTTTAAAGGGAACGCGAGAGACATCGTGCGACATTAGGCCAATCAGGACCGGAGGAAAATCGATAGTCACGTCGCGCTCTCATGACAGCTGCGTAAGATGAGCTCGCGGGCCTTTCTGTGAGATGAATAATCATGGGAATGGGCGCGCCGCTTGCGCAGACTATCTATCTGTAAGGCGTATGCTAACAGAGTAATCGTGGGAATGGGAACATTCCCAGCAGAAACAAACCGCAAGTTACTTTTGTGACTCATTCATCGACGGCTGCCTATGATGTCTACGATTGCAGTTCTAGGCCATTTGGCATAGTTTTTGATCTCTCAGTGTCATTTGGTTTGTGTACGGTAAATGGAAGGTTCTTTACTGAAAATTTTGGAATGATACTTTCAAAAGATAGTCACCCGCCGACCGGTTACGGAATCCACTCGTCT